TTTTGTGATACCTTCTCCCATGTAGCCTTTATTATTTCATTATTAATACTATTCTCATTCAGAGTGATAATTTTTTTTTTTTTTTATAATCTTTATCATTTGGTAGATAATAACGAATAATAAAAATTATCAAGAGAAGGTTAAGAATTTAATAGGAGATAAGAAGTTATAGATAAGAGCATTTCATAAGATAAAAAATTTAAAATAAAAAAAGATAATATGTGATAGAAGAAAAAAAAATGAGTAAATCAAAATAAAGATTTAGATATATATGTTTTTGATAGATATATAGATTAACAAATCATATCTTTATCTAAATTTTATTATTTTAATTTTTTGAAAATCAATTATTTAATCTTTATCTTTATCTGTAGGCCACGAAATTAATCTTTATAAATTATTTATCAATTTTTATATGTTTATTTATCTATAAGTCATGAAATTATTTTTTTTAAATAATTTTTAAAATTTTTATCTTTATCTATAGGTCATGAAATAAATTTTCATAAATTATTGATGAATTTTTAATTAAAGTACGAAATGAGGGGGAAAAAAGAGAGTAATTTTTTTTTTGAAAAAAAAAATCAATTATTTAATCCTTACATTTATTTGTAGGCTATGAAATTAATTTTTATAAGTTATTTATCAACTTTTATTTGTTTATTTATGGGAAGAAATTTTAAATTATCTATAAGTTATGAAATTAATTTTTTTAAATTAATTGTTTATTTTTTTTATCTTTATCTGTAGATTATAAAATTAATTTTCAATTTTTATATGTTTATCTATATGGTGGAATTTTGAAATTCAAATCTTTATCCATAAGTAATGAAATTAATTTTAATTTTAATTAATCAAACAAATAAAAAATGAAGAAAAATAGAAAACATGAAAGGCAATCAAATAAGGTTGCCACGTAGGAAAGAGAGTGCTTTAAAATTATAAGAATTTAGGAATAAATATTTGGAGGCTTTTGACAAAATAACTACATTTGGTTATATATATAGTATAGATATGTATATTTATTATTTTATAATATATATAATATAATATATAAAATACCTAAAATTTATTATTTATATTAATTTATGTACAAACACTTGCTTCCACAATAGTGCCAATTCCACAATAGTACCTTCATTGGCACTTTAAACAGAGGGGAGGTAAGGAAGGTCTACGTCCTTCTTTATTACCATTTCGTTTGTTTCTTCAATCCATTCTGGATCATCATGTTTTCTTTTGTCTCTTTCAAGAAAGGAATCACTTTGACGTTCTCTGTTCTCATCAGTTTGTAACCGACGCTCCTCTTCATCACCGACGCTCCTCTTCATCACAAGGTATTCCTGTCCTCCTCCCTCTCTCTGTTGTATTTTTTTCCCCGAAATACAATCAGTTTCTGGATCAGATTTTATGTGAATCAATCTGTAGATTTGGTGTGTGTGGGTCAATGAATTGAGTTTGTGTGTGGGTCAATGAATTGAGTTTCACTTTGATGATTTTTCCCACCCTTGGTTGTTCCCTTCGCAATAGGTTATGCTTTACGGTTTTTTGGTGATCATAGTTCAGAGGTATGGCAATCTCTATCACAACTGTTCTTCTCACCCTTTAGAATCAGAATTTCATAGTTCTGAATCTTTTTATTTTCATCATTTGAAATTTCAGAGGTTAATCCCCAACCCATTTCAGTCCAGGGCTTCACACCCATTAAGTGTTTGTTTGAATGGGTCTGAGAGGGTGTTCCATTTTTTAACTGAATGGATATGGGTTCATTTATTGCTTATTTTTTGCTTGAATCTGAATTTTTTGTGGGTTTGGTTGTAAAGTTGCAATTCATAATATTCTTTTGCTGAATTTTTTGTGGGTTTTGTTTGGTTGGGTTGATTTTTAACTGAGTTTTGAATCTGGATATTTTTCATCTGTAATCAGTTGAATTCTGTACCCATCCCAATACAATTCTTGCTGGATTTTTCTTAAATTTTGTATCAGTAATCATTACTGGTTTTCTTGCTGGTTTTCTTGAGTTGAACCAGTCAGCAATTCGCAAGACATTGTAGAGAAAGATGATGCGAGAAAAGTGAGGAGACAAGACAAAAAGTAAATGCCAATGTGGGTTTTGATGAGGCCGTGTGTTTGGGGACCAAGAAACCCTTCCAGAAATCAAGGAAAGTGAAACAGAAACTGAAACACAGAAACAACTAGAACAAGAAAATGAAAGAAAGGAACTGCAGTAACAGACAAGTGTGGTTGTTTTGGGAGGAGTGGAATTGCCAAGATCCATAGTAATTGCAATCTGATTGTATACCAATTGATCAACCACTGGCCAACTTTCTTTCTCTACTCTTATTTATTTATTTATTTATTTATTGGGTTTCACTATATCCAATTAATATATACATGATTAGAGAAGATTGGTTGAGTAAAACCCACAAGATGAGGAAGGGAAGCACTTTGATTTGAAATATATATATGTCTATATATCTATATATCTATAATAGATATAGATATTAAATTTTGTATCTGTAATCTTAAATTTTGGTTGTTTGGGATTTTTTAAATCACCTACCAATAAGGTTTCTAAGCAAAATTTAGTTGATAGTTCTGATTAATTCTTGCTTTGGTTCTTGCTTTCAGATTTTCTGATTATTTGAAAATCACCAAGTCGACCATTTTTTTTTGTGGGTTTGGTTGTAAAGTTGCAATTCATAAAGATTTGTTTAGCCAACCCAAATAACAAGAGAGCTCATATATTTCTTAGTCTATTAAATATATTTTTATAACTCTCCATAAGAAAATGATGTTTTATTTTAGATATTTAAATTTATTATTAGCAACACATTTAATTATCTATTTTTTGGCAAATTTTAATTGAAAAAACAAGAATTTTGTTTACGAAAGATAGAGGGTAACTCTTCCAGATTAATGTTAAAGACTTACACTTTGGAATTTACAATTTATTTGCAATGACATCGCAATGGAGTTGAGTTATATGATTTAATTTGTAATAAATCAAAAGTTAATATGTAATTTGTCATATCATTACGTATAAAATTAGAAGAGATTTTTTTTATTAGTGTGAATTCTTTTTCCAATTATTATTAATTTATCTTTTTATTTTTTTTTGGGGGACGTATACATTGACCACTTCCCATCATTTCTCCCCTTTATTTTATTAAGGGTAGCTCTAATTTAATGGATAAATAAAAAATATTGGAAATAGCATATTAGTTGCTTTTTAAGAACAATAATTACGAAATTGAGATGATTCACCTACAAAGTGGCTTATCAAGTAATGTCAGCTACTTCAAACGTTAAAAAATACTAAGAAAAATAATATATAGATCAAGAATTCAAACACAAAACAAATGTTAATAAAGTAATGTATTTTTTAAATTCACTTCACATGTGAATTCGACTGTAACCGAGTTAAACCACACACTATTTGATATATATATATTTTTTGATATACTATTTAAGGCTATATTTGTTTGGGTATACTACATAATTTCTCTTAAATAGTTTTACGAAAAATCATCTAACCTTTGTAGGTCGATTAATTGATGCTAAACATTTTTGGCTGTTTGATCACAACTTTGAAATACTTTTCATAAAATATTTTTATGGTCGTTAACATTTTTGCAACACATAGATTATAATATAAGAATTTTATTAGATAGTGCCTTCAGGCACGGGCAATCTCTAGTATATATAATATAATATATAAAATACCTAAAATTTATTATTTATATTAATTTATGTACAAACACTTGCTTCCACAATAGTGCCAATTCCACAATAGTACCTTCATTGGCACTTTAAACAGAGGGGAGGTAAGGACACCAAGGATCCTCTAGAGTGAAATTTTTCTAAAGTTTCCTAATGTGTTACATTGTGTGGTTGAGATTTACTGGCAAGTCACATTAATTTTTCTGATGTGACTTGCCAATAAATCTCAACTACACAATGTAGCACTCTAGGAAACTTTAGGAAAAAATCACTTTAGAGGATCCTTGCTCAGGTAAGGAAGGTCTACGTCCTTCTTTATTACCATTTCGTTTGTTTCTTCAATCCATTCTGGATCATCATGTTTTCTTTTGTCTCTTTCAAGAAAGGAATCACTTTGACGTGGTGATCCAATCCCCAAGAGCCTATCCGAAAAGTTGAGCGGAAAATTATTCAATTTGAGTTGGACTTTACTGAGTCTCTTGGGCTTTGACTTTAATGTGAGCTTGTCCTGCGCTGCAGGAAATTAGATTTTTAGCGGCGTTTAAAAAACGCCGTTATAGGTATCAAAAACGTCGCTAATTCTTTTTGTGACGTTTACTATCAAACGCCGAAAATGCGGCCGTCATTATAGTTTTTATGACGTTTGGAAAACGTCGCTGTATTAGTATAGGCGACGCCGCCAAATATCCTACCCTATTGGTACTTGTCGTCATTATAGTTTTAGCGACGTTTTTTAAATGCCATCATAGGTTTTTTTAATTTTAAAAATTTCAACCGTTATAGTGGCGTTTTAGAAACGCCGTCTTATAATCTTTTTTTTTTTTTTTTTGAAACATACTAATTTTATGTGATTGAACTAAAAGAACACCTATAATAAAACTAAATAGCAATAATATGAAATAATAACTCCCATTCAAATAAAAAATACAACATTAATTCACTTTCCCATTCAATTTAATATCCAATCACCATTATCCACAAAATAACATATCCAAAAATTGAATTCACAATTCTCAATCAAAAAATTACTACCTTATATACAAAGCCACAAAATAACATTACCCTCTTCTCTCTCTCGCCACTCCCTCATTTAACACAAAAAATAAGAAAGTAAACCAAAACACTCAATTTTATGTGATTGAACTAAAAGAACACCTATAATAAAACTAAATAGCAATAATATGAAATAATAACTCCCATTCAAATAAAAAATACAACATTAATTCACTTTCCCATTCAATTTAATATCCAATCACCATTATCCACAAAATAACATATCCAAAAATTGAATTCACAATTCTCAATCAAAAAATTATTACCTTATATACAAAGTCACAAAATAACATTACCCTCTTCTCTCTCTCACCACTCCCTCATTTAACACAAAAAATAAGAAAGTAAACCAAAACACTCAAACCCCCAGTCATATCAGAGGAAAAAAAGAAAAAAGAAGAGAAATAAAAATCCAAAGGATTTTAACACAAAAAATAAGAAGAAAGTGAACCAAAACACCCAACCTCCATCTATCCTTCACCGTCATTCTGAATTGCTCTCCATGCTACTTCCCATGGCCTTCAATCCTCTCGGTCTCTGCCAATCGTAAAACATAAAAATAATAAAAACAAAGCCAACAAAAGATGTGCGGTGAATAGATAACAAAAATAAATATGAGAAGTTCAAGCTACTGAACGTTATTTTAAATAGTCACATTAGGTCAAATTAACCTTAGGTATTTCAAACTATTAGAAAGTATACAATCCCATGTCATACTCAACATAATGTTTCTCTTAAAAAAGAAAAATAAGCTACAAAAAATTACTAAGAATATTAATGCCAAAGCACAAAGAGAAAAGTACTAAAACACGCATTTACTATGTACTTAGAGGAATGAGTCTTCCGTTCTTTGTTTTATGGCGTTTCATTACTAATTTGGCCAATTTACAGTTGCTCAATATACTCTTTCTTTTTTAGATTCTAAAAAATCTAACCCAACCTCTTGAAATAGTACTGGTTATCTAATCAAGATTTGACTAAATTAAAGGAATTGAAATGCACATCAAACAAGCAAACTTACTCAGGTTGGTTGGGTGCATCTTCTGGCTCAATAGTCATCATGTACATATCCTTGTTTGGCTCCTTTGCTGGATCTTCCAGGATGTCTCCCTTCATTGCCACCCCACGGCATGCACACAAACGTAAGAGAGAGAGAAATTAATTTATGAAGAGTTATAACAATATATAGGATCTTACATTCATCTTCTAAGGGAACAATTCTAAAAAGCTCAAATTAACTGGTCCCAGAAGTTTGATTGGGAAACGCATAGCTTATGTTTCAGTTTATTGATGATAAAGCCGCTACTCCAAATAAATAAATAAATAAAGAAAAAAGAAATAGAAAAAAATAAAAATGCCCATAGAGGTGCATTGATATATAAAATATTCTAAAATTTAAAACTAGATCCCAAGCATAAGCAATCAAACCATGCAAATTATTTAGAGCTTGAAACTATGGAAAATGCGAACAGTTAGCAGGAATTATACCAGTTGCCACCTCCACGTACATTCATTGCAGTCAATATATCCTTTTATGTGCAAAGAGGCACTACCTTTTACTTAAATTTTTTTTTGTACTACAGCAGTGTGACAGATTATGGGTAGATCTTAGTAAATCATACTTCTCATAATCCCATTCTACTCCATAACATTTATAATTATTCAAAATCCTTTTTAGAAACAAGCAATTCTTAGTAATAAAACACAACCACAAACGTTGAACAAAAATCAGAAAGCATAAGTAAGAATGTTCAGACTCTTACCATTCAAGTAAGAATCCAGCTTGTGTAGATTTTCATAAATTAAGTTGATAGCATTTCTAATCTCACAATCTGTCCATTCAGAGCCTTCCTGGTTCACTTCTTACAATTTATCAAACATTAGAGGGAATGAATAGCTCCCATCAACAGAAGAGTCACTCTGCACAGTAATTACACAAACAGAAAATGGTATCACTATTACAAAAATAGTTAAAGATCACACTTTGATTAAAAAAAAAAAAAATCTCACTTTTATTGAAAGTGTGATAAAAAAAATTAGATTGATATTTTAATCACACTTAATTTGATTGAGTGTGATCATATTTATTTTTTATGTCACTTTTCAATTAAGTGTGATTATATATACATTTTTTTAATCACACATTCTAATTAAAGTGTGATTACATATATACTATTACTTTTTAATCACATTTTTTAAACAAGTATGATTATACATATATTTTAATCAAACATTCTAATTAAAGTGTGATTATTTATATATTTTTTAATCACACTTTCTAATTAAAGTGTGATTATATATACCCTACTACTTTTTAATCACACTTTTTAAATGAGTGTGATTATATATATATTTTTTAATCATACATTCTAATTAAAGTGTGATTATTTATATATATCTTTAATCACACATTCTAATTAAAGTGTGATTATGTATACACTATTACTTTTTAATCACACTTTTTAAATAAGTGTGATTATTTATATATTTTTTAACCAGACCTTCTAATTAAAGTGTGATTATATATACACTACTACTTTTTAATCACACTTTTAAATGAGTGTGATTAGATCACACTTTAACAAATGAAAATATCTCACTTTTATTAGAAGTGTGATAAAAAAAATTAGATTAATATTTTAATCACACTTGATTTGATTAAGTGTGATAGTATTTGTTTTTTATGTCACTTTTCAATTAAGTGTGATTGTATTTATATTTTTTAGTCACATCTTCTAATTAACATGTGATTAAAGATCACATAAGAAGAATTAAAAATATCTCACTTTTATTAGAAATGTGATTAAAAAATTAAAATGATTTTTTAATCACTCTTAATTTAATGAGTGAGATAATATTTCAGCGTCGTTGGCCTTTCCAGCGCTGCTTCTCCTCTTAATTTAATGAGTGAGATAAATTAAAATGATTTTTTAGTCGCCGTCGTTGGCCTTTCCAGCGTTGCTTCTCCTCTCACCATTGCTGCTTTTCTCTTTCTAGTTTATGTTTTCTCATTCACTGTAAGTTCTTCAATTCCTTCCCCAACCCCATGAACTTTTGATATGCTAGTTGATCTTAACCGCGTGCACTGTACTCTTTGTAACCAATGAACCATTCATTTTTTATGGAATTTTTTTGTTGTTGGAATAGCTTGTTGATATTGTGATTCTTATCGTACCATTTTCCTTGTATGTCAAATGTTCGATAAAATGTGTCAATGGAAAACTTTTGTTATTTTTATTTTATCTTTTAATTTTTAGGCAAACACCGAAAAATAAGAATGATGATGAAACTTTTACGGTAAAATGCTCTCTTTGTAAACCCCCCCTTTTTTTTGCCCTAGTTTTTGTGTATATTATATGCATCATTACACTTTCTGATTATCTATGCGTTGTTTCCCTTAGATTCATGATAATCTATATGGCAAATTATGGAGCCTATATTTCATCTACTAGGCAGATTTTATCTTCATATGTTATGCTTAGTGTTTGAAATCATTCAATCCAAACTAGGTGTTAATGATTTGGGGAGGTTGAGGCTCAAAATTCTGTTCCAGAGTTAGTGGGTCATCCACGGTAGGGGGATTATTCATGTGGGTATGGATTATACATTTTTAGGATTTTTTTTTTCTAGTCAGGCTTGATGGTAAGGTAATGCTAATGTTAATTCATGTTGGTATGGATTATAGATGGCATGTTGACAACATATTTATGTTAGTTAGTTATCTCAAAATGGGATTTCTTTATCAACTGCTATTGGTGACTTGTATATACGCATTTTGTGCATGAATTACAGAGCAAATGTAAACATGGCCATGATTACCACTTGCATGCTTCTCTAGTAGTATAACTATATATGTTGTGCTTTGATTTATAGAGCTTGAGACAAAGAGAATATTGCTTAATATTTTCAAAGAGAAGCAGCAAAAGAGTGCTGAAGCTAGCACAATTCCAAGCTTCTAAAAGAAGGTAAGCATTGTTATTGGTGCTTAGGTATTTGAATTAATATAGGCCAGGTGATTTTGTCACTTTCTTTCTTTGGTATCTACTTGGATAGAACTTGAGTGCAAATGCTAAAGGGAGAATGTCCCTTATTTTCATATAGTTTTGTTGGTTTCGTTAATGTGATATTGTTTTTTTCGATTTTCATTCTTTTTCTGTATTCTGTACTTGCTTTAGCTCCCCCTTATTTTGTTTTCTGTTTCCCCTTTGTTGAGAAACCAGGAGAAGGGTCCATCAGTCACAGGGTCCAGAGGGTGGCTAAACATCATTTTCTAAAGGTATCATTTACACTTTTCCTCATTTGTTGACTATTGATAGTCATCATCACTTAATCAATTCATTTTTGGCAGATCGAAACAAGCGTATATCTCTTTGTCTCTTGGTGTGATATTGGGACTCCATATTGCCATTTTTTTTTCTTTCTAGATTGAATCTTAAAAAGTTTATTGAGTTGTGCAAGATTTCAATATGATTTCATTTGTAGTGACTAATTATTTGGTTTAGTATTAGGATGTGGATTGGTAATAATTCATCATTCTGTACATGCAGAAACAATCTGATCTTTTACTAAATGCTGATGATCTGGATGTTCAAAATAAAAAAAACACCACACTAATTATATGCCACTTGTACATAATTAATTCTAGATATTCAAAATATGGAGTATGAAAATTTCAAGTTACTTTTCCTCAATGAAAAACAATTAATAGTTGTTTGAGATTAATCAAGCATTCTCCAATAGAAGTTTTCATCTCTTTTTTGTTGCATACATGACTACTAGTAAATATATTACAAAGTTTAGAAACATAGAAATCAAAAATACATATATGATTCTTTTTAAAAATAGATTTCACCAGTCAATCTTGTAATATCTTGCTCGTCCATATATTTTCTATGCCTGATTCTATATTTGATTTCTATGCTACTACACTCATTGGCCCACATATGTCCTTGACAGTAGGCCTAATAATCTTTAAATGGTTTGTTTTACTTCACCCATATTTGCTACAGAACATTGTTTTGTTTTTGTTTTTGCTAATAATTTTTTGATATATATCAGGTGGGACTGCAAGTTATCTACTAGGAATGAGTGGATGGATTGCAGCTCAAGTAGATGAAGCAAGCAACCCAATCAATGTGAAGAATCTATCTTTGGGTTGGATGTTTGGTTTTCTCTTTCTTGTCAGCTTTGTTGGTCTCTTTTCAATTGTCCCCCTTAGAAAGGTATAATAATAATAATAGATTATTACAACAAACCAATTTAATTTTAATAATATATTTTATTGATAAGCTTTTTAATTTGTAATTTTTTTTGAATTGTTTTTCCTCTCCTCCTCAGATGATGATACTCAAGTACAAGTTAACATACCCTAGTGGAACTGCAACTGCCTACCTCATCAACAGCTTTCACACTCCTAAAGGAGCCAAACTAGCCAAGTAATTAATACTATCTCTTACCCTAATCTTATTTAATGTATCTATTTAAAACTAAAATTGATATTATTTACCACACAATGTAACTATTTAGAACTAAAACTGATATTACTTACCACTTGGCCCTTAGTGCCTCATGAAGCATTAAGTTTGAGATTCAACTCCCATTGAAAAAATTATTAGATAGTCTTGGAGGATCACATGGTAATACTCCTACCAATTATCAAATGTCATATCCCTTGTTGTTCTCCTATTACCAAACACCAAATTATAGGCTCCACTCATTCTACCAATCACAATATTCCTGGACACTACCTAGCCATGCCCCAAGACCACCACATAACTTCTCCTCCCATTGAGTGCTATCAATTGCTCAGGGACTATGCCTGTGAGCATAGTCGAAGATTTGCCTGACTCGCATGGAAGGAAATGCTTTGTGTGAGTTTTGAGATTAGTCGAGTACACCCAATGAATACTTTGACCCTTTTATGGATAATGTAGGAAAAAAGAGAAGAAATATTTATACCACACTTTTTCTAACAAAAACAATTAACTTCTAACATTTAGGTTTATTCATATTCTTGATCTACAATTTTTTCTTTTACTTTTATCTTTTTTTAAAATTTTAAGTTGTGAGGGCTGGTGGAGGAAAATTATTAGAATTAGCACCTTGTTTATTTATTTTTTTAATTTTTTTTGGGAGCTAATGAGTTAATTAATTTGGATGAAGGAAACAAGTAATGATGCTATTCTATTCCTTCTGTGGTAGCTTTACTAATGCACTTTTTCAATGGTTCTTTGTTGCTGCTGATGGCTGTGGGTTTAGTAACTTTCCCACCTTTGGTCTCAAAGCCTTTAGCCAAAGGTTAGCTCTTTCTCAACTTTTCATGATAATCATTTATTATTTTATTACTTACTGCTTGTTTAAGTAATATTAGTGAAAGGAAAATGATTTGAAAATGAATGATATTTTTGAATTTATGAGAATCATATATAAAAACTATGTTTATGTATCATTATTCTTATTGAAATTAGTGGTAGGAGGATGGAATGTCCTTTGGGATGGAAGGCTTTATACCTTTTTGATATTGGCACACCATAACCTAATGTCTTCAAACTTAACCATGCCCAATTTAATGTTATTCAGTTGTTTTATGAATACCGAAAATTTTCATAAAAATGTATTTATGACTCATCATTTGTCTCAAATCTGTATTTTTCTAACATGTGTAATTAGATATTTACCCATAAAGTGTATTAAGTAATTTGAGTTAATAAGGCCTGTTAATACCAAGGTGCCTAATTATTGCAAAAAATTATTATAGTAATTTTTTCTTTGATAAGTAACAACAGTAAAATGAGTAACACAAGTATATAGGAAAATAGAAACTTAACCACCACCACCACCACCACTAATAGCATAAACTTCATATGCAAAAGAAAGGATTCAGAACAATAGATAAACAAACAGTGACTGGTGTGAACTTCAACATAAAGACAACAGGCAACATAGCATACAAATTTTATCGATTTACATGTAGTTGGTGACATTAACAGCTGTCATTAAGCCACTTTGTTCTGAATTGATTCCCAAGGGTGTGTGCTTTGCTCTGAAACTTGATTGATTTTAGGATTTGATTGTGTGTTGTTTATTCGAGGAAGAAAAATAGAAAATGAATAAGAGAGCATGATCCTTCCTATAACAAAATATCTCTGATAAATTACAACATTAATAAGTTGCCCATCAGTTCCAAATATTTTTTATATTATTGGTTTTACTTATGTGAAATAGAATATTGAAATATAGAAGTTGGAGAAAAGATGAGAGCATCTGCAATGGAGTGGCTAAAAATGTGTTTTATTGAGAATCTGTTTGAGGTGGTTGTGATTCATGTGATGATTGTCAACACTTATACTATGCTCATTGTGGCAGGTTCTGATGAACTTAACAAATGACAACCCTGTGTACTGTCAGCAAATTGCTGCCTGTGGAGGACTGGGGAAACCTTGTCTTTATTGATTGTTGGCCACTTTCCATCATTCAGTTCATCTTTGCCTCTCTTCAGCGATATAAGAAATGATACTTGTTGTCCAAGTCTTAAGGCATTTGAAAGGGTGTGATCGGTAGGACTTTATCTTTTGTAAAACTAGAACAATCTTTACAAATAGTTAGTTTATTCATATACTTCTAGAGGTTTCTGAATTAATTTTTGTTTTCATTTTTCAGGTTAGAAATTCTTGGAGAGATGCAAAATATGGTCAAAGAATTCAAGAACTTAGTTTTTTAAGTTTTTTCATTTTTTAATATATGTAAGCATGGTTTAAAACTTTTTATTTAATTCCTTAAATATACTTTTAAACATATTTAATTTTCATTTATGAAATATATGACATTATTCTATTCAATATGTGCTTGTGATTCAAAGTATAGTATATAGTGTGTATTACATTCTTGAAATGCGTGTATAAAAATAATATTGATTATTCTTCAAATATGTCAAATTTTTTTTTATTACAGGTTTTATTAGTTATTAATCACACTTAAAAGATGTGATCTAAATGTTTTTAATCACACTTAAAAGCTGTGATCTAAATGTTTTTAATCACACTTTAAAGATGTGATGAAAGCATTTTTTAATGACACTTAAAAAGTGTAATTAAAAATGACCCCTTTAAATCACACTCCCAAAGACCACACTTTAATAAAACTTAAAAGGTGTGATTAAAAAACATACATCACACAAAAAAAAGTGTGATCTTTATCTGTATTTGTAGTAATGTATAAAAGTACATCAAAATTAATGGTAAGCAGTTCTACCTTCTTTTGATGCTATATGTTTATGAATAAAATTAGAAGCTAAAAGAGAAAAACAAAAGAAAATAGTGGAAAACAATACAAAGGTAAATTGCAACTACAACAGGGAAAGCCGGAGGAAAACAAAGTAGGTCATCTGTGAGAGAAGTGACTTGACACACTGTATGAAAATTTAAAATAATATTAAGAAACCTAGTAATGAAGAATATAAAATTCAGAAATTTGTATGTATGCCTTAATTCAAAACAATTAATTGAAAACAAAACGGCATATTCAGTCTACATTCGCTGTGAAGTGTAAAGGAACATTTCCAGCACTACAGTTGTTCTTCAGTTCTTCTTAGGCCAAAGAAGTACCAGGCTTGATCAAAAATAGAAGAAACAAAATCAAATCCCAAAAGTTAGGCCTTAGTCTACCCTACAGAGTTTAATAGTGTTACTAATTGCTCTGTAAAACCAAAGTGCCATTCTCTACCTACAGTTCCAGCAAATGTAATGATGAATTGCCCTAGGACAGAAATACTTCCTAAATAACTAATTGATTTGTGCTAGTTGCCAACTGTGCTGCATCACATTGTAAATAAAGAGTAGACAAACCAGAAACTAAAAATATGTGAGGAGATGGGAATTTTTACAAAATATTTACATAGCGATTACACCCCCTAATGCTGATTTATCTTTTAATATTTACAAATTAAAAGAATATCAGAGGTTCATTTATTTATCTTCAAATCAACGATGTTAGACAAAATATTTACATCAGTAATTTCAGTGAGCAAATTTTTACGCTATTGGTACACTTTTAACAGGGGTCTCCAAGGCAAAATTTTTTCTTCAAATATTGCAATATCGGAACAAATCAATGGCAATTACATCCCCTAATGCTGGCAATATATAGGGAAAAAAATTCAAGAAGTTTCAATTTGAAGTTAATAACAACTCACAAAACAAAATGAAGGAAGTTAAGACACATTGAAAATAGCCAACTTCCTACAAATGAACAAATAACCTTTCTTTGATTATTTGAACCAGTTTTGTATGTATCTCATCTCTGTGGGATTTATAATCCTAAAAGTTTGAAAGAAATGAAAACTGTGAGATACCTTGTATGAAGTGAAGCACTAAAAAATTACAGTGTTTGTCATTCACTGTCAAAAACATATTGCCAGCAGAAGCATAAGACATTCAACTTGTAGTTGCATCGTTTTTCTTATCATTACTTTTATTGTGGCTAAAGCAATATATAGTGTATGCCTTCCAAAAAAATGTCCTTTATTGAAAGGGAAAGAACCTTGAACAAGCTCATAAGCAAGTTATATATGAACTTTTGTATCAATTGCTCAGTTCACGTGTGTAGACGTCCCCGAACGCCCCGGGAGGAACGAGCTCCCGTTCTGTTCATTTGGGGTCACTACAGCTCAGGACTCTCAAAATGTCACGGTTCTAAGTCTGAACCGAAGAGTCCAAATCCGGCAAATCGTTTTGAGAAAAAGCAATGCCTTTCGTGTCTTAGGTACTTTCATAAATTAGTTCAGTTCAACTACCTCCCTTATTTCCAAGTGAAGTTGGAGTCATGGAGACAAATATTGGAGAGTTAAAACAACAAATTGATAATCAAAACAAAATACGGAGAAGAAGTGATTGCCGATGAAAATCAACAATATAAGAGAAATCGATACCTCGCTGGTGCAGATGGTGGTGGTGGTGGTGCTTCGAAATCGAGAGAGAGAGAGAGAGAGAGAGAGAGAGAGAGAGAGAGACATCGAAATCGCTCTGAGATGAAATCAAAGATGAATCTCTGAGGGAGAGATCTAGAGAGAGAATCGAAATCGCGGTGGCAGTGCACACCGATCTGAATTGAAATCGCGGTGGCGGTGCAGACCGATCTGAAATCGATGAATCTATGAGATTTGAATCGGTGAATCTGTGAAATTGGTGAATCGGTGAATCTCGCTACCTCGCCGGTGTAGATGGTGGTGGCGGTGGAGCTTCGAAATCGGTGAATCTGTGAGATTTGAAGGTGAGATTCAAAATAAGGGTTTAGAGAGGATTGAGAGAGAGGCGAGGTGAGGATTCAATGTTTGTTTGTGTCTGAAGGCCTGAGGGTATACAAAGGCTTATATTCTCAAATTCAAAATAGCACGTGTGGGTACCGTATTTGGAGGCGTTTTTAAACGCCTTTTAATATAAAATGGTGTCGTTTTCATTATAGAAATATGCGACGTTTTTAAAACGTCATTAAATATTAACAAAAATGACATTTAAAAAAGCGCCTTTAAAAAACGCCGCAAAAACCTTCCTGTAGTGCTGGACGTTGTTTTGAGCTTATTTTCTGCTTAGGGAAATGTTACTCGTGATCCGATCTATTCCATTTATGTTTGTTTGGATGGAGATAACTTTAAAATTGAATTAGCAATGCAACAAAATAAAATATAAGGTAAATTATCAACAAGTAGTTAAATTTAAATCTTATCAACTTTTATTCAAAAATAAATTTTAGTAAAATTATCGATAAAAATAATTTTTGTGCCCATTTTTTACGTGTTAAAAATTAACAATTAATGATTTTTTGTCATATTTTTATAAATTATCGCTAAAACTTACGATTTGTAACATTTTTGTGTGACGAAAACGTCATAGAAATGATTATTTAATTACAACGGTCCAGATCGAGCTATTTAAAAAAAATAAATTAAAATACAAGTAGGGAGGCATCTGGATCGTTGGATCATCTTAAGATACATCTCCACTGTTGCAAGTAGGGAGGTGTACGGGGAGCAAATATTTCGGCGAAGGCCGTACTCCTTTCTACCAAGCTCCTTGTCTATCCGATCGTCCTGCGAACACAACGGCGGTGAGCTCCCCGGCGGTGTGTGGCCGAAAAACCCCTCCGACGGTCAAGTTAGCACACACTCAGGGATAAAGAGAGAGAGAGAGGAGAGAGTTCAGTGTTTAGTGTATCTCACCTAATGATCATCTGCCTCAGCATGGGGGCCGCAAACACGCTTATATACCTTCTGCGCCCCAAATCTACTCCCATTAGTCTCTCGACACGTGGTGCTGCTATCCCATCTATCAGTACAAATCCAGCAATCACGGCCTAACCAAACTGTCAGGATATCTTGGCGAAACCCGACAAACCGGCGGAATCACCTCGGCTTCTTATGACCGCGCTGTGCGGCATATCTGAGTGATCCACTCGCCGAGACCCAGAACAACCGAGCTTGGTTGCATTCCGGCAAGCCGAGCTTGAGGTAGGTCGAGCCGGTTAGCTGTAAGCCTTCTTGCCTAGCTGAACGCATGAACCGTAGAATCCGGAATGGCAGGCAGTCATCTCGGTAGAGCAACTTCAAGTAGCCCGGTTTCTACACAAATGAGCCCAAGTAGCTCGGTCCAACATAGCCCTGTGCCTTAACCAAGCAAAACCTCTCTGGACAAGCCCAAGCTACCGCGGCCCAAACGTGTTCGACACTCAACTTGCCCGGCCTTTGACATGGCCCATTTCAGCTTATAAAATCTCTCTCTCAATTGCCCCTTAATTCCGTCCGCACAAGCGTGACTGGGATTACATGATCCAACCGGGGCAGACTCTTCCTCGGTCCTCAGTTTGCAAGTAGTTAACCATGCTGGTCGACATGCTTGGTTTCCAAACTTGCTCGGTCGACGCCTCATCTCGCCTCCCTGTCTCTTCAACTCTGACGCCGCCAATAATTGGGACACGCATCACTCGTTTATTGGCCTCGAGCAGCCAACCCTCACGTCCCTTCACATTCAAAAATTTTGGCAGTCTCTCTCTCTCTCATATATACGTCATTTCTCCCTTCATTTTGTTCTTACTGACTCTCCTTCATTTCTTGACATTCCAGAGCTCCAGAGCCTTCGAAGAGCTTTCTTCTTGCGTCTTGCTGCGTTTGTGCTTGAAGACTCACCTCCAGCCCCATTCTGGTAAGTTTTTCGACCCCTGTATTGCTATTTCGTTTGATATTCTTCGCTTTAGGGCACAAAAACCATAGATTTTAGAAAAATCCTTCCATGCCCCTTGTCCTCCTTGCTGTTCTTCAGCCTCAGTGATGAACACCTGAAGATCTGGGACGGACAGGGCTCCAAGTCTTCTCTTGATCCCAAAAAACATTAACACCAATTGCTAGTTTTAAGAAAACTTCTGTAAAAACTGAGGTAGGCAGAGTACTTGACTACTCGACCGGGCTAATATCTGGTCTACTTGACCGGTCGTGCTCCTGTATTTACCTTCATGACCGAGGTAGTCTGGCACTCCATCAGACCGAGCTAAAGTCAAGCTCGTTTTGCGCGACCGCGCTTCCACTTACACTTACCCTCTTTTTCCTGCGGAGTCCAAGGGGACCACACCAACTTCGAGGCTCTCTAAGACCGAGCAGCCATCAAGCAAGAGTTTGTGCCAAACCACCTCAGCCGAGCTAAAACTAGACGACCACGCATGGGGCGCTACC